CGAATCTTGTAAAACACTATCACACTTACCACTGTTTTTTTCACACTACTGGTTTTGTTAAGTCACTGTTTCACCTTAATAAATATCTCACTGCTTCACTCCAACTAGTGAAGTTAATCACTCCATCCGCGACAAGACCTCTTCTCAAAGCTGCTCTAAGAAGGAGTACTAGTGAAGTTAATCACTCCGTCCACAACAAGACCTCTTCTCAAAGCTGCCCTAAGAAGGAGCGCTGATGCCTACACAACCAGCAGCCAGCCTCGGGCGGCCCAAACTGGTGTTCCCTTGGAAAAGAGGATGGTTTTGCCACCTCCTGGGAGCAGCCATGGCTTGGGGAAGGAGCGAGCGACCCTCAGCAAAGCCTGTCCGTCTAAGAAGGAGTGCTGATGCCTACACAACCAGCAGCCAGCCTCGGGCGGCCCAAACTGGTGTTCCCTTGGAAAAGAGGATGGTTTTGCCACCTCCTGGAAGCAGCCATGGCTTGGGGAAGGAGCGAGCGACCCTCAGCAAAGCCTGTCCGGAGGTGTGGAGCGAGCCCTGGTCCTGCCCTAGCTACGGCCAGACCCTTGGGATGCTGTTACCTTCCACAGATCTTTCTTCAGGAAGGAAACCTTCCCGTGGTACCCAGCCTTCCAGGCCCGGTAGTTGGCGAGACACAGCAGCCAGGGATTGAGCTCATAGCCAACGGCCGGGCTGAGACCTTGCTTATAAGCCTCTACCACCTGGGGAGAGAGAAGAGTTGCAACTAAAGTGAACTTCGGCGTCCAGTTTGGGGGATGATTGGTGGGGCCGGGGCTCTGGCCCTGCTCCACTCGCTCCCTCCTGCTGGCCCGTGGGCAGGGTGACCTCAGTCCTCAGCACCTTCCAGCTCCAAAGGCTCTTTCCTCCTAGAGTGGTCATTCCCATCCTGCTCATTGCATGTGATGCCTTCTAGGACCATCTAGGGCTGTCTAGGGCCATCTAGGGCTGCCTATAGGGCCTTCTAGGACCGTGTAGAGCCTTCTAGAAGACCATCTAGTGCTGTCTATATGGCCATCAAGGACCATGTAGCATCCTCTAGGACCATCTAGGACTGTTTAGGACCATCTAGGGCTGTCTGTAGGGCCTTCTACGACCATCTAGGGCTGCCTGTATGACCATCTAGGACCATCTAGTGCTGTCTATATGGCCATCAAGGACCATGTAGCGTCCTCTAGGACCATCTAGGACTGTTTAGGGCCATCTAGGGCTGTCTGTAGGGCCTTCTAGGACCAACTAGGGCTGTCTATATCGCCATCAAGGACCATGTAGGGCCTCCTAGGACCATCTAGGGCTGCCTGTATGACCATCTAGGACCATCTAGGGCTGTCCAGGACCAACTAGGGCTGGCTATATGGCCATCAAGGACCACGTAGGGCCTTCTAGGACCATCTAAGGCTGCCTGTATAACCATCTAGGTCTGCCTGTATGACCACATAGGGCTGTCCAGGACCACCTAGGGCTGTCTACAGAGCAGTTTAGTGCTGTGTAGGGCCATCTAGGGCTGTCCATAGGACTATGTAGGGCTGCCCCGGCCCCGGTGCTCGGGGGTGGGGGCTGTGGGGGGGGAGGAGACAGGGGACCGGCCCCCGGGGCTACCGGCACCGGGAGGGGTCGGGGGAGCGGCCCCGGGGCTACCGGCACCGGTTGCTCACACACACATCCCCCCCGCGCACCCGTGTCACCACCACCCCCGGGAGCACGGGCGTCACACGTGGGTGTCCCCCCCCCGCACACACACACACACACACACACACACACACCGGCGGGGCTTTGTGTGCGGGGCAGGGCGGTGCGTGGTGCTTTGGGGGGGGTTGTGCGGGGTTGTGTGTAGGTGTGTGCGGGTGTGCACGGCCCTGCAGGGTTGTGTGTAGGTGTGCAGGGCTGTGTGTGGCTGTGCACGGGTGTGCGGGGCTGTGCACAGTCGTGTGCGGTTGTCCAGGGCTGTGTGTGGCTGTTTGTGGCTGTGCATGACGTTGTGCGGCTGTACACGGGTGTGTGTGGCTGTGCACAGTTGTGTGTGGCTGTTTGCGGCTGTGCACAACGTTGTGCGGCTGTGCACGGGTGTGTGTGTCTGTGCACAGTTGTGTGTGGTTGTACACAGTTGTGTGCAGTTGTCCAGGGCTGTGTGTGGCTGTGCACAGTTGCATGTGGCTGTATGCAGTGGTGCACCACATTGTGCAGCTGTGCACAGTTGTGTGTGGCTGTATGTGGCTGTGCACAATGTTGTGCAGCTGTGCATGGGTGTGCGTGGCTGTGCACAGTCGTGTGTGGTTGTCCAGGACTGTGTGTGGCTTTTTGCAGCTGTGCACAACGTTGTGTGGCTGTGCATAGTTGTGTGTGTCTGTGCACAGTTGTGTGTGGTTGTCCAGGGCTGTGTGTGGCTGTGCACAGTTGCGTGTGGCTGTATGTGGCTGTGCACAACATTGTGTGGCTGTGCACAGGTGTGCATGGTTGTACACAGTTGTGTGTGGTTGTCCAGGGCTGTGTGTGGCTGTGCACAGTGGCGTGTGGCTGTATGTGGCTGTGCATGATGTTGTGCAGCTTTGCACAGTTGTGCATGGTTGTACACAGTTGTGTGTGGTTGTCCAGGGCTGTGTGTGGCTGTTTGCAGCTGTGCACGACGTTGTGCAGCTGTGCATGGTTGTGCATGGCTGTGCACAGTCGTGTGTGGTTGTCCAGGGCTCTGTGTGTCTGTTTGTGGCTGTGCATGATGTTGTGCGGCTGTGCATGGGTGTGTGAGGCCGTGCACAGTTGTGTGCAGTTGTCCAGGGCTGTGTGTGGCTGTTTGTGGCTGTACACGACGTTGTGCTGCTGTGCACACTCGTGTGCGGTTGTCCAGGGCTGTGTGTGTCTGTTTGTGGCTGTGCATGACGTTGTGCGGCTGTACACGGGTGTGTGTGGCTGTGCACAATTGTGTGTGGTTGTCCGGGGCTGTGCACAACATTGTATGGCTGTGCATGGGTGTGCGTGGCTGTGCACAGTCGTGTGTGGTTGTCCAGGGCTCTGTGCAGCTGTGCACAGTTGCGTGTGGTTGTATGTGGCTGTGCACAACGTTGTGCAGCTGTGCACAGTTGTGCATGGCTGTGCACAGTCGTGTGTGGTTGTCCAGGGGTTGTGTGTAGCTGTTTGCGGCTGTGCACGATGTTGTGCGGCTGTACACTGTGTGTGGCTTTTTGCAGCTGTGCACAACGTTGTGTGGCTGTGCATAGTTGTGTGTGTCTGTGCACAGTTGTGTGTGGTTGTCTGGGGCTGTGTGTGGCTGTGCACCGTTGCGTGTGGCTGTTTGTGGCTGTGCACAACATTGTGTGGCTGTGCACAGGTGTGCATGGTTGTACACAGTTGTGTGTGGTTGTCCAGGGCTGTGTGTGGCTGTGCACAGTGGCGTGTGGCTGTATGTGGCTGTGCACGATGTTGTGCAGCTTTGCACAGTTGTGCGTGGTTGTACACAGTTGTGTGTGGTTGTCCAGGGCTGTGTGTGGCTGTGCACAGTGGCGTGTGGCTGTATGTGGCTGTGCATGATGTTGTGCAGCTTTGCACAGTTGTGCGTGGTTGTACACAGTTGTGTGTGGTTGTCCAGGGCTGTGTGTGGCTGTTTGCAGCTGTGCACGACGTTGTGCAGCTGTGCATGGTTGTGCATGGCTGTGCACAGTCGTGTGTGGTTGTCCAGGGCTCTGTGTGTCTGTTTGTGGCTGTGCATGATGTTGTGCGGCTGTGCATGGGTGTGTGAGGCCGTGCACAGTTGTGTGCAGTTGTCCAGGGCTGTGTGTGGCTGTGCACAGTTGTTCACACTGGTGTGTGGTTGTGCACAGCTGTGCACAGTTGTTCACACTGGTGTGTGGTTGTGCACAGCTGTGCACAGTTGTTCACACTGGTGTGTGGTTGTGCACAGCTGTGCACAGTTGTTCACACTGGTGTGTGGTTGTGCACAGCTGTGCACAGTTGTTCACACTGGTGTGTGGTTGTGCACAGCTGTGCACAGTTGTTCACACTGGTGTGTGGTTGTGCACAGCTGTGCACAGTTGTTCACACTGGTGTGTGGTTGTGCACAGCTGTGCACAGTTGTTCACACTGGTGTGTGGTTGTGCACAGCTGTGCACAGTTGTTCACACTGGTGTGTGGTTGTGCACAGCTGTGCACAGTTGTTCACACTGGTGTGTGGTTGTGCACAGCTGTGCACAGTTGTTCACACTGGTGTGTGGTTGTGCACAGTTGTGTGTAGTTGTCCAGGGCTGTGTGTGGCTGTTTGTGGCTGTACACGACGTTGTGCTGCTGTGCACAGTTGTGCATGGCTGTGCACAGCCATGCACAACTGTGCACAGCTGTGCACAGTTGTGCATGGCTGTGCACAGCCATGCACAACTGTGCACAGCTGTGCACAGTTGTGCATGGCTGTGCACAGCCATGCACAACTGTGCACAGCTGTGCACAGTTGTGCATGGCTGTGCACAGCCATGCACAACTGTGCACAGCTGTGCACAGTTGTGCATGGCTGTGCACAGCCATGCACAACTGTGCACAGCTGTGCACAGTTGTGCATGGCTGTGCACAGCCATGCACAACTGTGCACAGCTGTGCACAGTTGTGCATGGCTGTGCACAGCCATGCACAACTGTGCACAGCTGTGCACAGTTGTGCATGGCTGTGCACAGCCATGCACAACTGTGCACAGCTGTGCACAGTTGTGCATGGCTGTGCACAGCCATGCACAACTGTGCACAGCTGTGCACAGTTGTGCATGGCTGTGCACAGCCATGCACAACTGTGCACAGCTGTGCACAGTTGTGCATGGCTGTGCACAGCCATGCACAACTGTGCACAGCTGTGCACAGTTGTGCATGGCTGTGCACAGCCATGCACAACTGTGCACAGCTGTGCACAGTTGTGCATGGCTGTGCACAGCCATGCACAACTGTGCACAGCTGTGCACAGTTGTGCATGGCTGTGCACAGCCATGCACAACTGTGCACAGCTGTGCACAGTTGTTCACACTGGTGTGTGGCTGTGCACAGTCGTGTGCGGTTGTCCAGGGCTGTATGTGGCTGTCTGTGGCTGTGCACGACATTGTGTGGCTGTACACGGGTGTGCGTGGCTGTGCACAGTTGTGTGTGGTTGTCCAGGGCTGTGTGTGGCTGTGCACAGTGGCGTGTGGCTGTATGTGGCTGTGCACGACGTTGTGCAGCTGTGCACGGTTGTGCGTGGCTGTGCACAGTTGTGTGTGGTTGTCCAGGGCTGTGTGTGGCTGTGCACAGTTGTGCGTGGCTGTTTGTGGCTGTGCACAACATTGTGCAGCTGTGCACATTTGTGTGCAGCTGTGCACAGATGAGCATAGTTGTGTGCAGCTGTGGAGGGTTGTGTGTAGTTGTGCAGGGCTGTGTGTGGCTGTGCACAGTTCTGCACATTGTGTGCAGCTGGGTACGGTTGTGCGTGATCTGCAGTTGTGCACGGTTGTGTGTGGCTGTGCACGGTTGTGTGTGTGGTTGTGCATGGCTGGCACGTTTGTGCATGGTTGTGCATAGCTGTGCTCAGTTGTGCATGGTTGTGAACAGCTGTGTATGCCTGTGCACAGCTGTGTATGGTTGTATGCTGCTGTGCACAGTTGTGTGTGGCTGTGCACAGTTCATGCTTGTGTGCAGTTGGGCATGGCTGTGCACGGTTGTGTGTGGCTGTGCACAGTTGTTCACACTTGTGTGCAGCTCTGCACGGCTCTACAGAGTGGCATGCAGTTGTGCAGGGCTGTGCACAGTTCACACTTGTGTGCGGCTGTGTGTGGCTGTGCACAGTTGTTCACACTGGTGTGTGGCTTTGCACGGTTGTTCACCGTGTTGTGTGCGGTCTTCCAGGGCTGTGCACGGTTGCTCATGCTGTTGTGCGGCTGTGCACAGTTGTTGGCGGCTGTGCACAGTTATTCACACTGGTGTGTGGTTGTGCACAGTTGTTCATCATGATGTGTGTGTTCTTTCAGGGCTGTGCACGGTTGCTCACACTGTTGTGTGGTTGTGCACAGCTGTGCACAGTTGTTCACACTGTTGTGTGGCTGTGCACAGGTGTTGGCAGCTGTGCACAGTTGTTCACACTGGTGTGTGGCTGCGCACAGTTGTTCACCGTGCTGTGTGTGGTCTTTCAGGGCTGTGCACAGTTGTTCACACTGGTGTGTGGCTGTGTGTGGCTGCTCACAGTTGTTCACACTGATGTGTGTGGTCTTCCAGGGCTGTGCACGGTTGCTCCGGCTGTTGTGCAGGGCTGTGCACAGGTGTTGGTGGCTGTGCACAGTTATTCACACAGGTATGTGGTTGTGCACAGTTGCTCA